GAGAATAAACGTTGAAATGACACAAAAATATACAGAAACGACTGAACAATAATATATGGGAAATTTGATTATAAAATGTAAATAAGATTGATAAGACGAATAAGGAAGAAGCTGATTTTTTTCTCGATCTACGGAATATAAATTTATCTATATAATATATTGTTCTAAATATATTAATAAACAAAGGTAAAAAGGGACATTATCTATCTCTTAGGTTTATGGCGTTCCCTTTTAGATTTCGCCAATATATAAAAGGGACATTAACGGGCTACGAAAAAAAAAACATTTTTCTTTACATTCGTATTTTATCAAAATATATTCTTTGAATGAACAGAAATGTATACTATTTACTATTAAGTGACGGAATCCACTTGCAATTTCATTATTGTATCTGGGATTTACAATTTGTTTGCCAATCAAAAAGATGTTTCGTCACCTGGCAAACAGTCCACATTTACGAGCGGCCATTGTGTGATTTCAAAAGCCCAATTTACGTCTGCGTCGTTGAATGTTCTAGCCGAATCGGTAGTTCAGTCAGTTCAATGACCTACCTGCCTTCGTGTATTACTATTGTTTGCAGATCAACCTTCTTTGACAACAAAAAGGTTTGAAATAGACTGTTTTTTTTCGTATCTTTTTTTTTTTTTTCGAACTTAAGTAAGCAATGATATACCGAATGTCCAAAAACTTTAAATTGTGCAATCGATCCGTCATGGCGTCATCACAAATTTTTAGGTTAGAAATAACTTTTTAGTTGGGTATGTTTGGTTAATGTGCAAATATTAACTTTAAAATAACTTATAAATAATAAATGTAATTTTTATATTTGAAATCGCACCGTTATGAATCTAGAGCAGAATGATTGCTTCTTTTTTAGTTCACATAAGTATGACTTCAAAGAGTTACCTACTTTCTAAGATGATTTAACTTCTGGCATGATACATCCGTATTACATACACACAAAGTATTGTTAGAGACAAGTATCTATTATAATAATAGAACTTTAATTCAGAAATTATGAACATTGGAGACGTATTAGGATTGTAATTGTTGTTAAAATGCTTGGTGTAGTTTATTATTATAAGCGTGCTTTTTTAGGACGTATTGACGAACTACTTTCATGTTAAAGGAATAAAGTCGTATGAAGAATGAATCCTGCATAACTCCCTAGTACATGGTATATTCTGTATTCCTAGTATTCTTAGTATTCCGTATGTGGTCCTAGTACATATTGTGAAGTGGACATAAATGGTTATATACCTTCATGCCTGTTTTTACCATAACGTCTCGCGTTCCCATTTAAAAGGATCGGATACCCCTCATACAATACAATGGATACATTGATTCCGTGTCTCCATGTGTGTGGCCATATTCACTGTGATACGGGTTCCTTCGATCATTTTTTACTGGTGGTGTAGGACCTCTTGTGAGTCCGCACGGGTAGGTACCATCACCCTGCCTATTGCTGCCGTGAAGCAGTAATGCGTTTCGGTTTGAAGGGTGGGGCAGCCGTTGTAACTATACTGAGACCTTGGAACTCATATATCAAGGTGGGCGGCATTTACGTTGCAGATGTCTATGGGCTCCGGTAACCACTTAACACCAGGTGGGCCGTGAGCTTGTCCACAAACCTAAGCAATAAAAAAAAACTTAGCAGCAGATGGGTGATGATATCGCCTAGCCATTTACAGTGCTGAAAATTTTTGAAATATTCAAACAACATTTAATTTCTAATGTGCTACAAATGTGTGCCGACCTAATCAAAATCGCGTTTGTATCAATTAATATACCACAATACTTAAGGAAAGTCTGCGACGACGGTTATCGGCACAATCTTTGAAATTACTGCAAGCTACTTACATTTTTAATAACATTGTTTAGGAATTCATAAGAGTTAGGAAATTTTCTTTTTTTTTTGAAGTGAAAACTTCTTTAGAATCGTTGTGATTTCAAACCGGATGCAACGGAAAAAACGACAGGTAAGAGACACAAATACAAAAATGTGTAGGATGAAGCCAGCAAAGAATGAGACAGAAATATACATACTATTTAATACAGCGCCATCTGTGAGATTTTTTAATACTAACGTGTGTACGAAAGCTCTTGTAGTGAATTTTAATTNTCTTTAGAATCGTTGTGATTTCAAACCGGATGCAACGGAAAAAACGACAGGTAAGAGACACAAATACAAAAATGTGTAGGATGAAGCCAGCAAAGAATGAGACAGAAATATACATACTATTTAATACAGCGCCATCTGTGAGATTTTTTAATACTAACGTGTGTACGAAAGCTCTTGTAGTGAATTTTAATTTAGGATTATACGTGAAATTAAAATATCAATTCACAGAGGGCGCTTACAATTATTTACTAATGACAAAATTTTACATATACTTAAGACGTTTAGGATAATAGTATTTTATTTTTGGAAGGTTTCACTTCTACCACGCGTGAATTGCACACATTTTGTTTTTTTTTTTGGACAAATAACTAGCTCATTAGGGATGTTGACGATGATTGAATACTATATTACATACGCTGATACTGTTTTAAAACCTGTGCTACTAATGATGATTACTCGTATTATAATTAATTACAGTAAATTCTAATATTTATTAGTGTACTTGCCATTTGTTAGTTAAGACCTGCGCTGAGATTAACTAATGTTTTTTTTTTTTTTTAAATACGAAATCGATAAACGAAATCACAGCCACAAAATTTAAAAACTGGTGTCACTCAAGAGTTTTTAGCAAACTGTTATGTGTAAATATCTTCAAGGTCTAAATAATAATTTAAAAAAAAAAAAACATAAACGATCACTAAAATTTCCTAATGAACAAATAAATGTAATATATATATTTTTTTATTGCCCTTGTAGGCATACGAGCATACGGCCCACCTGATGGTGAGTGGTTACCGTCGCCCACGGACTTCAGCAATGCCAGGGGCAGAGCCAAACCGCTGCCTACAAATGAGTCGACTATTATCAAAGCCGGCAATCTGACTTTTGGACAATGATTGGTAAATCAGAAAAACGAATTATTGACTTTGTATTCCATTGGCAGTCACAAAACTCTTCGGAACGACATCTTAGATAAATAACAGGTTAACTATTAACCTTTATTTAGTGCAGGTTTTGAACCGTATTCTTTGAAGGAGACGATTATATTCAAATAAATCTGTATTGACATATCAATAAATTTTTTTGTCCAAATGCACAGATTGCCACCTTTGATAATAGACGACTCAAAT